TAATTTACTATAACAGAACACTCCACCATCACTTCCAGGTCATCTCTGCTGAACCACATGGCCCGAGAACATTCCTTCAGCATCGGACTCCCGGACAACATCGTCTTCTGCAGCGAGTTCCTGGACACACTGCAGAGCAAACTGGACAAGTAAGAAGTGACGCACACACACACGTGACTGAAGTCTCAGTTTTACTGTAAACTTTTAAGGTCTTGGTGGTTTTTCTCTCTGTATCTGAAGCAGATGAAGGATTTCAGTCGTCTGAAGTCACAACAACAAACTCTTTTCTTATTGCCTTGTTTGAGAGACCCCTAGTGGCAGAAAAGAACTGTTTAATTTTAGTTCAACATTCCTGAAAACTTCTCGATTAGATTCAAATGTGGGCAGTAATAGTTTCATTATTGATTCTTGATTGACCTGTTGATTATCAGAAACTGACCGGATCATTGTGTTAAGTGTAGAACGTCTTGTGTGCTGATGTGTTGTTATTTCTCTGGTCAGTCTGCAGTGTTTGTACTGTGAGAAGACGTTCAGAGATAAAACCACATTGAAAGATCACATGAGGAAAAAAGCTCATCGTCGCATCAACGCCAACAACAGCGAATACGACCGCTTCTACGTCATCAACTACCTGGTAAATGTATCTGCTGCTTCTGAAGTCAAGTGTAGAATCCACGTTAGACTGCGGCCGTCTGTCGTCTGACACGGCTTCAGTCCTCACAGAGCTGCAGCCACGTTCTCTGACTGATAACAGTTAGTAGTAGTCGATCAATGTTCTGTGGATCAGCTCATCAGCTGTTTCAGCACCAGACAGATATTCTGAATGTGAACTTCTCTCGTGTCAGGAGCTGGGGAAGACGTGGGAGGAGGTGCAGAGCGAGGACGACCGGGAACTGGTCGACAACAATGATGACGAGTGAGTATCGCCGGCAGGAGTGAGAACACGTAGAAAAGAAAGAGGAGGAGATTCCAGTCATTCTCTTCTTCTGTCCACAGTGATTGGTCGGACTGGCAGGCTCATCCGGTGTCTGCTGTGTGTCTGTTCTGTGATTGTCAGTCGGAGACGATGGAGCAGATCTACTCACACATGAAGGTAAATAAATTACAACGACTTTCACACCTGCAGAGGAGATGAGGACAGCTCCGCTCAGTGTTCACTGACGTGTTCATGTGATGAACCAGGTTTATGTTCACACTCACTGATGAGCTGTCGCACTTTATTTTCTGTTGTGTAATGAACTTTCCATTTGTTTGTTACCGTGTCGTTTGTTTCAGGACGCTCATGACTTCGATCTTCAGAAGCTGAAGACAGAACTCAGTAAGTCAAACATCAGGAACGTCCAGAATCTGCATCGTCATGGTACTGCGACAGAAATGTGATGTTTATCATCAGTAAAGGAAACAGGTTATAAATAAACTGTGTGTTGGTTCTTTTAGACAGAGACGTTTGTGGTCAGGACAGAAGCAGGACTCAGAACACATGAAGCTTAGTTCAGATCAGGAAACCAGTCTTGATTGACAGATTCACTGACGATGCAGATTGAAATGCAAACGGCTGAATATTGAACCTCTCGCTCTGCGTCTCCTCAGACCTCAGGTTCTATCAGCAGGTCAAACTGGTGAACTTCATCCGGCGGCAGATCCACCAGAGCCGCTGCTACGGCTGCCAGGAGAAGTTCCTCTCCAGAGCCGACGTGCTGCGTCACATCGCGGCTGAAGGTCACGTGATGAAGCTGCCAGACGTGTCCACCTGGGACCAGCCGCAGTACGTCCAACATTATTTCATATCTGTATGGATTTCGCTGAAGGACATCTTTCCGTGTTGCTGTCGACCAGATGCTCGTTGATAAATGTGTAAATCTGTCGTCAATCTCTCCTCAGGTATTTCTTCCCCACGTATGAGAACGACGCCCTCTTGTGTACGTTATCTGACAGTGACGAAGCTGAAAGTGAGGAGACAAATCATAGCGTGGACGTCCCGGTGATCGCAGAGGACGTGTCCAACCTCCGAGCCCTGAGACAGACCAGCGTCCTCAACCAGCTGCTGAAGAACAAAAGCTAAGACGATGGACAGACAGCGGAGTGAAGATGTCTTCCTCTTGTCTTCTGGACACATGATGCTGAACGTGCACTTTAAGACTTTATTGCCCCAAATTTACATTCAATCAACAAAGAGGGTTCTAATAATGAGAATGATCGATAACTAACTTTATTACTTTCAGTAGAAATAGTTTCTGTTGTAAATAAATTCAGTGCAACATCCTCAGACGCTGTTAAAAGAACCAAACTAAAGGAGACAAATATATTTCTGTGTCATAAACACTGGTCGAGCTTCGCTTTGTTTTCTACTTGGTCTTCGCTGGTGAGACGTTCTGCGTGGCTTTACCGAGCGAAACCTGTCGAATGGAGGAGCCGAACTGCAGCGTGCTGAGCGTCTCCACCACGTCCTTCACGTCTGGACTGACGTTGACGAACACGCAGCACTGCGGAGGAACCAGACGACACAAACTGAATAACCTCCACCTGGTTCACGCCCACATCTGTTAAACCTCACACCCCAGGACACGGATACAACGAGAAGGTTCTTCCTCAGGTTCTCCAGATGTGGTCACAGGCTGACAAATATTACTGATGAGTTTTTGTACCTTGGCGTCTCCGCTGAGGCAGGGCTGCAGGAGGTGGGTGAGTTTAGAGTTCCTGAATGGGATGTGGAACGCGTTACACTTCAGAGCGCTGAACACCTGAAGGAGAAATAACAACACGTTTATTTTCCAGAGAGAACGTTCACACAGAGTCGTCAGACCTGAGGACACTCAGACGTGTGGCCTGGAGGAAGTGAGGACGGCTCGAGCTCCTGAGACGAAGACTCCACTGACCTGACGCTGTATTTATTCATTAGTGTGTCGCTCTACCTGTCCCAGGGCCGTCAGAGACTTATTGATGGCGGCAGCCTCCACCAGCCTCTGACCCTCGGCTTCGGTCTTAGAGATTCGCTCTGAACCGGCGAGGTCGCACAGGGTCAGCGTGCCGCGAGACGTCAGACCCGAGACCTCGTCTGAACCCTCCACCTCCAGTGACACCACCAGGTGAGAGCGAGAACTGAGGAGGAGGAGGAGGAGCGACATCAGATAGAACTCAGAATACTGATTCCATGTTGGTCCAAAGTGAATCTGCAGAACCTCTGAATGTTCATGTTGGTGGAGGCGATCTTTCGGTTCTTCTCGCCCGTTTCCATGACGCTGAGGATGTCTGCCTCAGTCCGGACCAGGATCTGAGTCAGTCCTGGGACCGACACCGACTTTCCTCGGACTCGAATGTCGAGAGCGACGCTGGTGCCTTTGGTCAAAAGGTCGTTCAGAGTGTCGTTGTAAATCTCCAGCATGGAAATCTGAAAAACGTTGAGTTACTTCAACACACACACACACACACACTGTGGTCCCCCCCCCCCCCTCAGTTGTGTGAATCCAGACCTTCAGAGTGTAGGAGACCTTTTCTTTGTCTGCACAAATACGAAGCAGCTCTTGTATAGACCTGAGAAACAAACACACATTTGTTTGTGTTGCTCTACATCTCGTGTCCGTCAGGAAACTGGATCTGTGTGTAACCTGACTCCTCATGAGGTATTGATGAACCTCTGTCAGGTGACACGAGACACAACGAGACACAATGAGTCTCATTTGGTCCCTGACGGAAAATAAAGCCACTGACAACGTTCAATATTGAACTTGTAATATCTTGGAGGGACAGAACCCTCGGGGGACTGAAGCAGTGGAACATCTCAGTGACCTTCATTTAATTTAATGTCAGGGCCACATTCCATTCAGCTGCTTCTGTTCTTTGAATCTCTGGACTCATCCCCTCGTATCTGACCTGATGTTGACTCCAGGGTTTTCCTTGCTCCCCATCATGGTGTAGGTCTTCCCTGATCCGGTTTGTCCGTAGGCCAGGATGCAGACGTTATATCCGTCCACGCAGGACGTTATCACCGGCAGAGTTCCTGCAAACACCTCCTGCTGCAGACAAGAAGCACAGAGAGGAAGCAGATGGATGAACGTCACATCTGAAACAATCAGAACCCGTCCGTCACACAAACACTGAACCTGGTGGGGGGG